CCCAGAACATTGTGTTGTGCCACGCCCAACAGAAATAACCCAGGTGGGCGACTTTAAAATCAGGATCTCCTCCGTAGCTAATAGCAATTCCCACTTTAGAGTTTACAAAGACTTATGGGTAGAAAAGCCACACTAAGTAATTTACTACACCGCAGATGGCTAATGATCGTGGACATTTCTTCATGTATTTGCTGGTCGCCTGAATATCCTCTTTTGGTGAAGTGTGCATTCATGTCTTCTGCCCATTTTTTAACTGGATCAATATTTTTGTTGTTGATGTGTTAAAAGTTTTCTATAAATTTTAGAGATAAGTCCCTTGTCAGATACATAATTATCATTGAGTATGAATTTGTTGCTATCATTGGGTTATGTGCTTTTACGTGGTATTGATTTCTTTGTTACATATAATTTTCTGTGCTGAGCTGTTTTTGTTTATGAATTATGTTATCACTTCCTTTGTTGCTACTGTTTTAGTATTTGCTAAATATTTGTGCTGGTCCTCTTTTATTCTGATGTGAGGGTTTATAAGTTTTCTTTCAGGTGACCCTGTGATTTATAATTTTCTTCCCAAGTTTAGAACAGTCTGATCTTGTAGTTGTCTTGATGTTACTACCTCTTAGAAGTTCTGTAACCACACAATGTTTTCCCTCTTTTTGGTCTGTAGTTGTCCTCATTTGTCAATTGATGTCTCTGGTCCCAATTATAATCTTGTAGGCCTATTTACTTTAGATAGTTCTATAACTGGGTTGGTTTCTGGGTTATATCATCATGTGTGTTAATGGTCAGTTGTTGTTGCTTCTCTGTCCAAAGGATTCCCTTTAGCATCTCTTTTAAGATTGCTCTGCTTGTAACAAATACCTTTCATTTCTGCTTATCTGGAAATGTCCTAATTTCACCATCATATTTGAGGGATAATTTTGCTGGATATATTATTCTTGGTTGGAAATTTTTTCTCTTTCAGGGTTTTATATATACCATCCCATTGTCTTCTCACCTGCCCAGTTTCTGTCTAAAAATCCAAGCTTAGTCTTATTGGTTGCCCCTTGTGGGTAACTTTGTTTTTCCCATGCTGCTATCAGGATTCTTTCTTTGTCTTTGGTGAGTTTGATGATGATATGTCTTAGTGATTTTCTTTTGGGGTCTATCCTATTTGGGGCTCGTAGGACTTCCCAAATGGATATATTCTCATCTTTCATCATACCAGGAAAATTCTCTTCCAACAAATCTTTGACAATTTTCTCAGTGGTTTTCTTTTTTTCTTCCTGTTCTGGAATTCCAATTACATGTAGGTTATTCCTTCTGATGGTATCCCACATGAATCTTGGGCTTTCTTCATTTCGTTTTGATCTTTTTTTCTGACTGATCCCTTTCCAAAGGAGTATTGAGGTATTTGCCTTCAATCTCACTAATTCTGTTTTCCATTGATTCAATTCTACTCGTTTGCCCATTCAATGTGTTATCTATTTCTGAAAATTTAGTTTTAATCTTCTGGATTTCTGTCTGTAGATTTTGTCTCATTCTCTTATTTTTCACTTATTTTGTCATTTTGTTCTTGTATTGTCTTCTGAAATTGTTCTAGGGTTTTCTCTGTGTTTTCCTCAATTTTGTCACTGTTTTCCTTGAGCTGTCTCTCAATTTGTTGAAGGTACCTAAATATAATTCTTTTGAATTCCTTATCAGGGAGTTCCAATGCTGCATCTTCCTCAGGGATGTGTTTTTGGTCTATATCCTGGTCCCTTGTTTCTCTTGCTTTATCTTGCTTCTTTGTGTGGACTGTGATGCTCTGCTGTCTTGAGACATTGTGACATTTTTGCATTTATATTTATTTGGTGATTGTATGTTGGAGTGACTTGCCCACAATATTAATTTTCTTTGTTTTGTTTGTATGTTATCTACGTAAGCAGGGTACTGTGCTGTGCTCCTCTGTTTGCCAGTTAACAGCACTTATACACTCACCACCTGTATCTCCTTTCCTGCTATCTGCCTCCCGTACGTCCTTGCTGTTCTAGGCAAATGGAGTGTACTCTTAGGTCCCTGGAATCCAAATAAGAATGCTGTCATTTTAAAATCCAAAATGGCCATCACCTCTAAACAATCAAAATGACCATGCCCTCTGGACAAGCAAAAGTCCACAATTCAAGTTGTCTGCTTCCTTGTTGTTTCCCTTTCTAGTCATCCGCCACCAGTACAGTCATCCCTGTAGCCCTTGGAGACCAGGGCTGGTCTTTAAGACAATTCTCAGGTCCCAAGACCACTTGGTAATATTTAGGCTGCTGGTCTCATCAGAGTAGCTGGCAGTACACTGGACCATCTCCGTACTCACTGTATTTGTTCACGTTTTTCCACTAGTTGGTGCTTAATTCACTTCTATATACTTCCTTTCAAAGCTCAGGGTTCCAGGATTATCTTCTGTGTCTGTCAACTGGTTTCTCTTTTCTTTGTTGAAGAGGGTCTGTGTAGCTGGCCTGCCTATTCTGCCATCTTACCAGAAGTCCTGGTTATGATTATTTTTAAAAAAGGTTACTGAGGAAAACCAAATTGGCTAAAGTGATATAAAACTACAGATTAAAAATAGGGGCTTATAGGTTAACACAGCATTCAGTTTGTCAAATAAGAATCTACAGAAGTAATACAATCTTATTTCAACATCAAAAATAATCATTAAAGGGGGTATTCTTCAAGTAAAACAGCTTATCCAAAAAGGGTATCTAAAAATCAACTGTAAAACTTCTTATAAAAATACTTAAAAGAAATAGGTGTATCATACATAACTAAACTGTCATCTGCAGTCACTTACTCCAAACAGTGAAAGCTGACTGCTTAAAAATTTGGACATGAAATCATATAAAATGAGTTCCAATTCTAGAACCCTCATGTATAAGTAAAAGTTTCTCCTAAGAGAAGTCCCTGGGTGGGACAATTGGCTAAGTAAATGACTACTAATGAAAAAAGCTGGAGG